CACCTCTAAGAGCCCACTATCCCGCTCCGCTCCCCCCCCCTCCCCCCACACTCGTGCCCGCGTTGCTTCGCGCCTCGTTATTATTGTGGAGCGCTGCCTATGAGAGCTACTCGGAGTTCGCGTGCCCTTCCCCTTCGTTCGCCTCATCTCCCTCGCGGTACTCCCAGCTGTGTATGGTTGGGTGTTTCGTCGGGCTACTTGTAGGAAGCAAATGCCCACGTGGGGTCCACGTGTGACCCGCGCGAGGCCCGCGCTGGTTCGCCAGACCACTTGTATTTTACGGTGTTGGCGTCGCGGACCACATGGACCCTTTGTTTCCCATGCGCGAGTACATGTTCAATCGGAATGTGTGTTGTGTGCATTTGGGAAATGTGCAAGGCGTCTAAGCGGGCGTGTGTTGAAAAGCCCGGTTGGGGCTCGCGGCGCAATTTTTTCAAACATTGCAAAACGCCACAATGGCTCCCGTCATCGTGCTTTATTTTTCGACTTACTGCTACCTTAAGAAACCTTTCGTTGTCGCTGCGAAAACCAGAGAAGACTCGTCTCAGCAAGGGCAGCGTCCCCCAAACAGGTCGTTCATTTCAAGTCTGTTAATAACACATGCAACCGCTGTGGAAACACATTCGGCCTCCTGAGTGCCACCGAAAACGGCACGATATTTCGAACGAGTGAAGGACAACACTTTGCAACAACAACGCCCGAACCAAACATATCCAATTTTGTTTCGCCCCCCTTGCCTTAGCATTGGCGGATCTTGAGTTCGAGATGATCGGCTCGAGCTTTGCTTGGCCCCGTTTCTAAGGGAACGGTCGACAATATGAAGGCCGTGTGGCGGAGGGCGGTCACGTGTGCTGCGCAGTTTTATCCTTCACCGGTATTGCAAACAACTTCTCCCATTTTCGCTGGCATGGGCGGGGGAAGAAGGGGTTGGAAGGAGAGGAGAAAAGAGATTCCGGGGAGGGTGGGGGTGCGCGAAATTGCGCCTTCGACAGGGCCAGCCACCGTTCGTCGTCGCCGCTATCGTATCCCACGCTCGCTCGTGAATTGCAAGCGGCCAGGCGAGGGTTACGTGTGGGCCTCGCGGTGGCGAATCAGATTGCGAGGATATGAGGCCCACGCGAAGCCCACGCCGCGACGCCGGGTTTCAAGAAACCACCTTGGCCTTTGAAAAAAATGTTCCGCCTTCTTGGAAGACCGCCCCCCCCCGCACCCCGCACCGCTCTCTAGTGCGTTTCTCCAAAGAGGAGGGTTGGAAAGGGGGGGTGCGAATTCTGACCCGCGCAGCTGACCGCTGAGCGCATTCCCCGGCACATCCCCAGCGCCAGGAGTCGCCATGAGAACATGCCATGCGGTTGACAAAACGCATGAGCAGAAACTTGTGGAGGTTCGTGCGGATTTTTTGGACCAGCGTTTGGCCCCCCCGGTGGCGCCTCTGGCGCTGCCATTGGCGCTCTCCGCGCACCAGGGAGTGGGGCTCAGCACCGATTCAAGAAATTCGCGCGGAACTTAGACAGTGTATGTTGGTGCAGTATTCCCCGATCAGTGTTTGCACTTAAGAGTTCTTACTTGCCCTCTAAAGGAATGGGCCGGTCTGTCGGTCCGGGGGCTATGTTGCTGCCGTCGCCGCCCTGTCGCCGCCTCGTCGCCGCCAGTATTTGTGTCTGTCGGTCTCGCGGCTATGTTGCCGCCGCCCCCGCCCCGTCGCCACCTCGTCGCCGCCCGTACCTGGGCCTGTCAGTCGGGCTGGTGACCGTGTTCCCGCCGTCGCCGCCCCGCCGCCGCCTCGTCGCCGCCCGTACCTGGGCCTGCCTGTCGACCTGGCGGCAATGCTGCCGCCGTCGCCGCTCTGACATAGATTGCGCAACACACATTCTCCTTTTCTAGACAGAGTTTTGGAATATACTTCCCCCTCTGGAATTAACTACTCTCCTTTCCTTACTGCAATTTTCACGCGGTTCTGCCCCATCGTCCCTCCTAAATCTGAGTTCGTACCATCCCAGGCGCGCTGATATCGCCCCCCTTTTTTCCTTTGCAAAAGATGGTATGCGCGCGCTTTCGTTTATCAACAATCATCAGTTGTCAAAAATCCCTTGCAATCGAATGAAGCGAAGTGCGCACGCGCGCGTCGTCGCGCCCACATTCCGAAATCCTGAAAAGTTCTAGATTTTGTGAGGATTTCAACATCGATTGTCCCGAAAACATATACAAACACGTGGCTTCGCAACAATAATCTTCAAACAAAATTGCGCCGCGCTCTTGCTAATTCTTAAGAAAGCGTTTTGTATTTCAACCTATTCAGAATATGCTACCAAGCGAGCCTCTCGCTTGCGCGTGACGGAGTCGTTCGAACACCCCTGCGCGCGTGCTGTCGCAAGACTCCTTTGCAAGAGACGTGACGAATCGCACACGCGCGTGTCGTCGCGCGCGCATACCGAAATCCTTTCAAACCTTAGGCTCCGCGAGGCTTTGAACATCGAGTGCCCCGAAAACACATAAATACGCATGGTTTTGCAACGCCAGCTTTAAGACGAAAAAACAAATAATGCGCCCGTTTGTTTGCATTCTTGAGAAGTCCATTGGTTTTTCAATATTGTCATTGCATTCTGCCACACGGGTCTCTCGCGCCCCATGTCGAAATCATCCGAGCGCCCTTGCGCGCGTGTTGGGGGGGCACGATCCGTGTCAAATCATTTCATGCAGGCCACTCTCGCGCTCCAGCCACGCGCGCATGTCGAATTCCTTCCAAAACTTTCAACACCGACGCGAGGACGCCGTCATCGTCGTCGGCGTGATCAGCATCGGCGCCGTCACTAGCCTGTCCTCATCGTCACCAGCATCGCTACTATCATCCTCGTGTCTACCGTTGTCGACGTTGCCATGCTACCGCACCCGCCCAAGTCGCCCACTGGCACTGAAGTGCCCGCTGGGAAGCGCCCAGCGGTCAGCGCCACCGAGGCCGCGTCGGTCGCGTCAAACTAGCTGGTCGCTGCGCGCGCGAGCATGCGCAGGCTAGCAAGGCGGCAGAGAAGCACCAGTCAACACCAAACACTCAACGCAATCGCCGACACACGGATCTTCGCAAGCTAAGTTGCGGGTGGGTGGGTGGGATGCTAGCGCGTGCAGTGGAGTTGCCAATTCACTGCGAAACGGCACTAACTCCACCACGTAGATCCCGCCACATACAATGCACCACATACACTGCATCTCCTATGTATATATATATATATAGTGTACCACATGTGTTGTACCACATATGTGTCGCCCCACATTTGTTTCACATCGTAGGCTTCACTTTCTTGATTGCACACTATAGCTTGCACAACATGTAGTGCACCACCTACATTGATCCACGTACGTTGCGCAGCATATCCGTGCATACACATTTGCGCGGGTTGCACCACGCATATGGTATATCATACATTAATTATCGTATATTGCGCACCATATGCAACATCACCATCACATACTTTGGACAACGTCGGTTGCCTTCATATATGTATGTGTATATATGTGTACATGTATATGTATATATACATGTTGTGAGTGTTTGGACACGTCTACTGCACCACACAAACTGCGCAGCATAGGTGGCGCCACATCTATTGCGCCACGTGCTTTGCATACCGTGCATGGACCACAAATTTTACACCACACAGGTTGCACCACATCTAGTGTACCACATCTTGTCCCACATCGATAGCACAACATAGGATGCTAGAAAACGCTGTTCGGGGTCGACTTTAGCATAACCGTTAGTTATGCATGCCCTTGCGCGAACGCCCTTGCGCGTGCGCCGTCGCGAGAATCCTATGCAACACATGGGACGAAGTGCAGACGCGCGCGTCGTCGCGCGCGTATGCCGAAATCCTTCAAAACCCATCAGTTTCGTAAGGATTTGTGTGTCCAAAAAACCTACACAAACACAAGGTTTCGCAACATGGATTTTCAACAAAAGCGTGCGCGCGCGCCCTTGCGTCGTCGTCGTCGTCGTCGACGTCCTCCCTCCTCCCGCGTCGTCGTCATCGTCGCCTACGTCGTCCTCTGTCTTTCCTCGTGTTCGTCGTCGTCGTCCTCTTTGGCGTCGTGGTCGTTTCCGTCGTCGTTGTCGCCGTGGTCGTCCTTCCTCCTCCTCCCTCGTCGCCGTCGTCGTCCGTCGTCGGCCCTCCTATTCCGTCGCCGTCGTCGTCGTCGTCGTTGTCGTCGTCGTCGTCGTCTTCCCTCCTCCCTCGTCGTTGTCGTCGTCGGCGTCGCCGTCCTTCCTCCTTCTTCGTCGTTCGCGTCGTCGCCGTCCTCCCTTCTCCCTCGTCGTTATCGTCGTTGTCGTCGTTGTCGCCGTCGTCGTCCTCCCTCCTCCCTCGTCGTCGTCTTCGTTGGCGACGTGTTCGTCGGCTTCGTCGTCGTCGTCGGCGTCGGCGTCGGTGTCGTCGTCGTCTTCGTCGTCGTCGACGTCGGCGTCGTCGTCGTCTTCGTCGTCTACGTCGTCGTCGTCGGCGTCGTTGACGTCGTCGTCGTCGTCGTCAGTGTCGTCGGTGTCGTCGTCGTCGTCGGCGTCGTCATCGTCGTAATCGTCGTCGTCGTCGGCGTCGGCGTCGGCGTCGGCGTCGTCGTCGTCGTCGTCGGTGTCGTTGTCGTCGTCGTCGGTGTCGTTATCGTCGTCGTCGTTGGAGACGTCGTCGGTGTCGTTGTCGGCGGCGTCGTCGTCGTCGTTGTCGCTGCCGTCGTCGGCGTCGCTGTCGTTGCCAAGTGCCATTTGGTACCCACCGTCTCGGTCTGAAGAGATTTTGCAAACCAAGTTGCGGGTGGGTGGGTGGGATGTTTGCGCGAGCAGTGGAGTGGACAACTCACTGCGAACAGAAATAATTTGCACCACATATTGTCCCACATCGATAGCACAACATAGATTGCTAGAAAACGCTGTTCGTGGTCGACTTTGGCATGACAATTGTTTATGCATTTTCACCGCCCGTCCACTACCATCCCTATGTCGTCCACCCCGCGAGGAAAATCAAGCGCGACCTGAAGAAACAGTGCGTCGCCGGTAGCGCGGCGCGGATCTGGCAAGGGCGGGACAGCGCCACGAGGCTATAATTGTTTACTACGTTTCGATTCCCATCTAGGATCGGTTTACCTGGCCCCAGATCTCATGCCCTCAGTGTTGCCCGAGACCTCATGCCGTCGTATTCTTGTGCTTGTTTGCCCAGTGGCGCCCCTGGGATGGGCTTATTTGGGCGCCGCACCGGGCAGGACTCGCCTTGAATGCGGCCTTGGCTTCGAGATTATCTGGCAACTCTTCCAACTCAGCCGGGAGATTTTGTTGGCCGCGCGTGTCGGCAGCGCGAGCTGCTCGAATTTTGCGCGAACCTGCCTTGCAGGCGAGAGTGCCAGCTTTCTTTACGGCATCCGCAGGGGCCCGTCGCAGAGAGCGAAGGGGCGCCTTGGGCGGGCCCTCGGCCACTGAGGATGATTCCCTCGGATGGAGGACGTTTCGTGCGCATTCCTAGGGGGACCCTCACACACCTATGAGGACAATCCTGGAAACCTCGCGCGGCGGGCAATCGTTGTGTCATCCAGTGCAGACGTCCGCCCAATAAGATATGGGACGACGTTCGCGCGGCGACGTTTGGACGTAAGTCCGACGTCAACCCGACGCGAAGTCGACTTACATTCTACGTACGTTGGGCCTCCAGTTGCCGCGCGGCGCCTCCAGGATTTTCGTCATACCATCCACATCCGCCGCATTCTTGGGTTCAAGGACGTTGGCTCCCCAAGCGGTGAATGTATGAATCCCGGCCTCGAAGAGGAGACGGCCCGAGGAAGAGTAGACGGAGACGGAGGAGGAGGCGGAGAAGGAAGCGGAGGAGGAGATCGCGGATGAGGTGGAAGAGGAGGAGTTGTTAGAGGAGTTGGAGGAGGAGGAGGAGGAGGAGGGGGAGGAAAGGGAGGAGGAATGGATGAGGAGGAAGAGGAGCAGCAGCAGGAGCAGGAGCAGGAGCAGGAGCAGGAGGAGCAGGAGGAGGCCGCTTGGGGACGCTGTTGCGTCCGAGGGCACTCTGTGGGCACTGCCGCAGCCTGCCGCTGAACAGATGCTACTGCGGCAGCCCTGGGCTCGGTCGTCCAGCGGCGAGTCGCAGCCCGAGCGCACCGCAGCGTGTTTGCCAGCGCACTCCCACATTCCAGGCCTCTCACATGGGGTCCGAGTAGATGGGGTCAAATAATCGCACCGCATCACCGATGTATCGGCGATGGGGCCCGATGTGGAACCAGATTTTGTCCACGCCGACGTCGCCAATGCATCGCCGACGTCGCCGATGCATCACCGATGCATGGGCGATGCGGTGCTATCCTCCGACACCATCTTCTCGGACCCCATTTGAGAGGCCTCAATACTCAGGGGCGGTGCAGATCTGGGGAAGTAGAGTGGGGGTTATGCCCAAGGGGCGGGGGAGGTTGTGAAAACCCGAAACATGGTTTGAAGGGTTGGCGCGCGGCTGGCGCCTCAGCCACCTGAACTAATTGACCGCATGGGCCGTCGCAACTCCTGGCTGAGCTGAATCGACGACAGCCTCAATTGAGCGATGTGGAAGGAGGGACGACGACGACAAGGCAGGATGGAGGCAGGGAGGACGGAGGAGGGAGGAGGGGGGACAGGCGACTGAGGATGGAGGAGCGGGTGGGGGGGAATGGAGGTGCGGGGGGGAGGGAGGAATGAGAATAGGGGAACCTAAGGTTTCGCCCGCGCGGTTTCCCTCGCGCCCACCCCCGAGCGGGCATTTTGAGACCACAAAACCGGCAGTTGACTTCAGAGGCGTGGGAATCCCAAACCCGGAATTGTTCTGACGGGCCCCCCCGGGGCATTCTGTACGGTCCCTCCAGGCATTTTGACGGTCCCCAGGGCGTTCTGACAGTTCCCCAGGGCATTCTGGCGGTTCCTGGCTTGCTGCAATGTCTCCGGCGGGAGCCTTCTCCAATCTCACGGTCTACCGGGTCATTTTGGCGGTAGCAAAAGTCTTTCTTATGGTTGTTTTTTTTGCCAGGTTTCTGCCCTGTGAGGGCTCCCACTGGCCAGACGCCCAGTCGAGTCGAGATCTACGGGGATCGGCATTCCCGGTATCAACGACAACAACGTTCGTGATTGCTTGCGATCGCTTCCGGTTTGAAAGGAAACCAACATCTACCATAACTCCGAGGATATCTTCAGGGAAACAGAGCACGTTGAAAGGGCAACCAAGTGCTCAATGTCCTGGGGTGTTATAGACAAGCCCTGGTCCACTAATCCCCATTGATCCGAGGTCTGGACACATCACACTTCGATCATGAGCCGAGTTTGGCCTATCTTTAATGTCGAGCAGTCGAGCAGAGGGTCAATACATGTTGGTCTGTCATACTTGTGTTCGATCATTATTTTGGTCGATCCCAATTTTGCTCGGTAGTAGTTTTGGTCTGTCATAAACTCTGGTCGGTCAATGAATTTGCAAACAATCATTCGCCTACGACTCGGTGACTTCGTGCTTTGACGGACCCCCCTTTTGCTCAGCCCACCTTCTGAACTCCCCCCGAGAAGAGGGTGTGAGTGTGCGCGCGCGCGTGCGCGCGTGCGTGCGCGCGTGCGCATCATTCGGCGGCGCGCCGAGGGGGGAAGTGAGACCCGGGTTGTTTGCTCGGCTTCCCCCGTCACCCTCAGGCCCCCTCTCTCCTCGAGCTCGCTGACCAGGGGTGGGCGTCTTTGGAGCTGTCCTGGCCTGCCTGCCGCCTCGACCTGCATCCGCGGCGCTTCGGGACTGGCCCCGCAGTTCACGCGTGCCTTTCGCTGTCCCTGTCGCCCCCCCCCGCTCGACGCGTCGCACAGCTACCTTCAAGTCGGGCGTTTCCGTCTACAGGAGGGAGATTCAGAAGCTGTAAAACAATAGTCCCGGGACGATTGTTCGATTTCTGTTTTGATTTTTGTTGGATATGTTGTGACAAGTTTAGTCTTTCTTGCGAAATCCGCCTGTAGGAGGACATTCAGGAGGGACAAAAAGCACACCGGCACAATTCATCGTCGACCCCCAGGAAACCATGGGAAAATATGGGAAGTGGGGGGACGACGAACACCTGGAACATGTGGGAAGAGATGGGGAATCCTGTCATCTGTGTGTGTGTGTGTGTTTATCTGTGTGTCCCAGGGCCCCTTCAGACATGCCCGACCTAGAGCTACCTCCTGGAGGAGCGGCCCAGGCCGCCCGGGCCGGCCGGCCTCCCCGTGGGCGGCCCGCGCCGACTCCTTGCTGCTCCGCGCTGTGGGCTTCGCGCCAAGGCCACTTCTTTAAAACGACGCGAAGATCGGGACAAAATCGGATCGGGATAACTCGAAATCTCGGAGAATCGGCGGGTTTGGAGGATGTATTGGGCGCCGCGGCCGCTCCAGAGCGTTCCGGAACGCACTGAGAGCGCTCCGGAACGCTCTGGAGCGATTTATCCCGATCCTAGCCCTGTTTTATTCTTGGGCGCGGGCCCGCTCGGCGCCAAGCAGGGCTGTACTTCGACGTCAGCCAAGGGGAAGTCCACCGGAATCGAGCCCACGAGTACGTCCAGCTTCGGAGGTGGGCGAGGGTTTCCGACCCCGCGTCGATTCAGGAATCGGCCGTTGTCGGTTCGCGAGAGGGCGTCGCGGCCGTCATTCTTTCGGGTCCAGGTCCGTTTCGGTCCCAGGCCGTTTTCACTGAGGCGAGGTTTACTAAAGGGAGGTCTGTCCACCGACTTGTGATGTTACAGCTTACTTTAGCCTCGATCACCAGAAAGAGTGTCGAGCGCCAGAAAAGTTACCCCAACAACGCGAGGGTTTTCACGTGTCTGGCCCTGGGAGACGCTCGTCCGACACTGCTTCGGCACTCTTTCGACACGTTTCCGGGTGCTCGAAATTATTTCTGGGACGTGGTCCTCAAGTACGATGGGAGCAACATGCATTTCGACGTCATCCAAGGGGAAGCCCGATGGAATCGCGCCCACGAGCACGTCCAGCCACGGATGCGAACACGAGCCCGCTGACCGCCAGGGCCGCGGGCGCCCGCCGGCCCTGGCCCCCCTGCGCCCGCACACCTCGCCGACGGCCCCCGACGTGGACCCCGAGGCACGCTCTGAGACCAATCGCGGCCCCGACGACGCAGCGACTGTCGGGGGTGGGCAGAACCCCCACTCTGACACGTCGATTAGTGAGTTGTCCGTTTTCGGTTCTCGAGAGGCCGCCGCGGCCGTCATTTTCCAGGCTTGCGCCCGCCAGGATTGGGCCCAAGGTCGTGTTCACTTCAACCACGTTCTGCTAAAAGGGGGTTCTGCCCATCCCCGAGGCTGAGCCCGCCAGGCTTCCCGACGCCGACCCTTGCGGTCCTGGCTCTCGAGTGCGTGCGGCGGTGGACCCCCCCCGCTGGGCGCGGTCCTCCTGGGTGTCCTCGCACTCGTGGCCTGCCGGCGCGTGCCCTTCGCCTGCTGCCGCCGCGCTCGCCCCGCCCCTCGCCCCGCCGCCCCCCTGGGCTCGCCGAGGCGCCCGCGGCGCCTGCCGCCTCGGCGCGCACCTGGCCCGCGCTTTCCACTCTGCCTCGCTCTGTACCAGCCGCTCTCTGCATGTGCGGGCCCCCGGGGGACTGGCAAGTCGCGCGCCGCCCGCGCACTCGCCGCCCTCCGCGCCCACCCCTTTCCCCGCGCCTCCGCCGTCGGGGCCTCGCTCGCGGCGACGGGGTCTGCCGCAGGTTGGCCGCTGACTTCGCCGGGGACCCCGTCGACGGCCCCCGGGGCTCTGTCTGGGCTCCACGTGCCGCATGCCTGACCTCGACACGACCATGGATTCCGTCAAGCTCCTCGCGCCCGCCGGCAGGTGGGCAGCCCTGGGCCTCCAACCCCCCGTCGCCACGGGCGAGCGCGGACCCGAAGGCCCAGAAGGCTTCGCAGACGACTGGAGTCCTGAGCCTTCTAGAAAGGCCCGCCCCCTCTGCCTTCCCCGAGGTCTGTGCTGTCCAGTCATGGCCAGGGCATGCAATCTCCCAGCTT